TCTTGGTTTGCCTGGCAAAGTTCTTTAGCATTCGGCTATTCTTATATGACCCAGTACTAAGTAGGCTTAATCCACTTGAAATCACGTGCAGCTGACACCCAACAACAAATCATGATCCAACCATTTCTCACCGGCATTCGGTAGTGCCCCACTGCTACACTTACCCTAAATAGTGTAATCATGTAACAAATGGGATCCAGGACAACTATGGCATTAGGCCTCCCCAGGGGAAACCAATTACCAAAAATAAATAATCAAACCACGAATTGTTGTCCTGGATGTCAGTGAAACACAACTTCAACTGGTAAACAATGGTAATCATCTCGGTAATCATTTAAAGAGGAAGTCATTGGAAATATTTGCAGCCAAATGCTCAAAGCCCAATACCAAACTTGCTCAACTAGAAGTTAGCTTACCAAAGTTCTGATTTCTATACCTATCAACTAGGAGTTAGCTTACCAAAGTTCTGACTTCTGTACCTATCGCATCAAAACATTCTGCCGCCCAATCTAGCCATATCCCGGAAATCTGACCAATCAAATTCGATATGGCTATTTTGAGCGGCATAATGTTACTACATGGGCTAGATCAGGGGTCAAAATGTCGGGACCGCCTGTTGCACTTGTCCGCTAGAAGTGCCGCATGTTTTGTTTGTTTGTCGCCCATTGCTCTATTTTATGCGAATACATTTTAATTACTTATGATATAAAACTACCCACAACGTTCGTTTACTCTAATGTGAGTGAAAACACGTAACATGTAAACTTATTTTCAAAAAACATGTTCGAATACTCCAAGCTATAGCGTCGATTCAAGGTATTTATTGGCTCAGCTAGCTTTTGGAGAGAATGTCCAGTCAAAAGATTTTCATATGTCATTTGCAGTTGCAAGTCAAAACATGACTGAATATGTGGATGAAAGTCCTGAAAATTTTACTACAGTCAACTTAAATAATGGTTTAATATCAAATGATAATACTGAAAATCGCCAACTATTGATTGGCCTTCAACAAGAGGAAAACACTAAGGAAGTTTCTTTTGCCTCATTTATCAATTTGATGAAGAAAAATCATACACAATTTGACACTTAAATTTTTAATTATGAGATATTCAGATTTTGCATAATCTAAATTTATTGACCCTTTATGTCCCAAATGGTTATGTTTCTTAATTCGTCTGTTTCAATTAAAAAACTAATAATTTAATCAATATATTCATGGAAAAAATCCATAGGGAACACAAAACAAACTTTAGGCGGTACGCGAGCGCGGCGGGCACTCAAACGGAAGGAAAGGAACACAGCACAACCTCAGTTATCATTCACCAGTGTTGCCGTTGCCGCGCTTATGACAATACATAATTATCATCACGCAATTATCAATGCACCCTAATTGCAGCTATTTAAATTACAAATCAACGGCCCTCCAAAATACCTTATTTCAATCCAACACACCATACACAAAAAAAAATTATGATCAAAGGTAGCGCCATCTCTCGGGGACTTTTCAAACTAAAAAGTTTTATATCGAACTTTGCACAATGCCAAATTCAATATATATAATATTTTTTCATATTTTATAAATATTGAATTTTGCATGGGTCAAATTCAATATTATATATTTTTTCAAAGTTTTATATATATCGAACTTTGCACTGTGCCAAATTCAATATATATAATATTTTTTCAAGTTTTATAAATATTGAATTTTGCATGGGGCCAAATTCAATATATTTATTTTTTCAAAGTTATTTTATATATATCGAACTTTGCATGCTGCTAAATTCGATATAAATATTATTTTTTATTTTAAATATATGCAAAATAGTGGTCATTTTTATCTATATATTGTTTTTCCTGCAAAATATTTTACATATAAGACGAAATAATTATGGAACATATGGCGCCCCATAAGATATAAAGTTGTGGGTCAGATATAATATACCGGGTGCTCACGAGATCACTTTCCGGCTTCCATTTTTTTATTTGTGTATCGATATCAACGAAACTTGGTAGGGTTGATATTCTAACCAAACGCTATTTTTATGCATTTATGACAAGTTTTCCTAACTTCCGGTTTCACCGCAAATGACCGCAACTTTTGATTTTTAAATGACACACCCTGTATATTTTTTGTTTTTCGGATTTTATAGATCGATTTACATCCTAATGCACCACTTTTGAATCGATTTTTGTCCAAATTTTGTTTTTTAATTAAATTTTAATTTTTTAACTAGAGTGCCATGATCATCCTAAAATGACTCCACATACTTTACTTAATTTTAGAAAAATACAAATTCAATTTTATCTTTGTAAACTTTTTTGATAGAGGACTGTAAACTTCATTATTTCAGTATTTTTGCCCTAGCTCAAAAACTAGAATAGAAACATATCACTTTCATACCATTACTAAATGCAGTATTTTAAAGCGAATCCAACGATATAATACACTATGACATTTTTCTTAATTTTCGTTCAAATATTTTTGTAGGTAATTTTTTTTTCTACTTAAAATTTAATTTGAAAACGAAATTTGGACAAAACTCGATTTAAAAGTGGTACATTAGGACGTAAAACGATCTGTAGAATCCGAAAAACAAAAAATATACAGGGTGTGCCATTTGAAAATTAAAAGTTTCGGTAATTTCCGGTAAAACCGAAAAGGAAAACTTGTCAAACATGCATAAAAATGGCGTTTCATTAGAATATCAAGCCTAGCAAGTTTCGTTAATATCGATGAATAAATAAAAAAATGGCAGCCGGAAAGGAATCTCGTGGGCACCCGGTATATAACTATTATAACCATAATATTACCTTGCATTTTTTGGGACTTACACCTCAATTGAAATTAATACCAGAAGTTTCTTGATGTTGATACGAATTACTACAAGCTCTCTGTGGGCCGATCCTCGGGCCAGGGAGTGGAACTCCCGAGAGAACAAAATTTTCGTCTTTATCATTCTCGTTCACTTTTCGATTACGTTGAGAAGGACAAAACATTCGTTCTATCGGGGAGCTCTACTCCCTGGCCCGAGGATCGGCCACCTGATTAGAGCAATTTTACCTATCAGATTATTTTTATAAAATAAATTACCCGAATCGACTTTTTATAAACGAATCGAGTTTTATTATTTCAATAAAATAATACTTGATTAGGCTCGGTGGTATGAGTTCTGGATTTTTTGCTGACGTTTCGGTACCAAATCTATGACATGTAGTAATTCGTATCAACATCAAGAAACTTCTGGTATTAATTTCAATTGAGGTGTAAGTCCCAAAAAATGCAAGGTAATATTATAAATCCACCTCAAACATACAGACATTTGTTATTATAACCATATAATACCTTGGTTACGATAATCATGAACAGGGTCTCAACTCCCAAGGGAGTTAAGGATTTCATAACTCCCGCGCGGAAGTTCAGGATATCATAACTCCCAAGGGAGTTAAGGATTTCCATAACTTCCGCTTTTACCTTGAATAGGTGAACCTTTGACAAAAAATAGAAATTTTGGTTTATTTGTTTATTTCTTTATAAAAATGGACAAAATACAGTAAATTCAGTAGGAAATAAAATTATCTATGTACCACGGGAATTATCAGGTGTTAATACCCACGGGCAATTGGTGTCCCTCGGGCCGAAGGCCCTCGGGACACAAACTTTGCCCTTGGGTATTAACACCCTCATAATTCCCTTGATACATAAATAACTATTATATAAAATACACAAGTCCTGCTGGTCCCTTCTTTGTTGTACTGTCTGCATATTTAGAAGAGTCTGAAGTTCATCATAATCAATAGAATCATACTTTATACTCAATTTGTAAGCAATAAATCTTAAAAATCTCCTTTGTATTTTCTCTAATTGATATTTATGTTTATCATAGTAGGGTGACCAAACAGGGCTAGAATACTCCAGCACTTGCCTGACAATAGATGAATAGGCATTTCTTAAAGTAAATATATCATTAAAATCCTTCAAACTACATAATAAAAATCCTAACAACCTCATAGCTCTGTTGGAAATTCTTTCAATGTGCTCTATAAAATTTAATTCTACATCTTAAATCCCTCATGACATAAACTGTCTCCAGATCAATTCTTCCAATTGAATAATCAAAAATAAAAGGACTTTTCATTCTCTGAAAGGACATAATTTTGCATTTGTCTAAATTAAGGTCTAAATGATTCCTTCCACGCCACAAATAAAATTGATTACCTAACTTCATTTTGAAAGGTCTCACTGTGATTGATATCTTTAACAATAAGAAATATTTTTTTGTCATCGGAAAATTTAAAAATTTGCAACTTGTGAAAACCTTCTTAACGATCATTCATGAAGAGGTTAAATAGAAGTGGAGATAAATGTCCGCCTTGCAAAACCCCAGAAGGTATATCAATCTCAGTTGAGATAACATTTTCTACTTTAACCTTTCGCTTTCTTCCTGAGAGTTGATCAACAATCCAATCCAAGAAACTATCATAAAAACCTATGCATTCCAGTTTATTTTTTAAATTTGACACAATAAATACATATGCATTTCTTCATGATTAAGAAAGGAATGCCATCCGGTCCACTACCTAGATTGTCTTTTAAATGAAAAATCTTATCATAAACATCCATGACATCAATAGTTACACAGTTGTTGAAGTTAAATTCCCTAAATATTGCTCCCAAAGATTTCTTTCTGCTATCAGATCTTATTTCTTTAACAACTATTTCAGACTACTCACTAGCACTCAGGTTGCTGCATAATATATACTGCTGAATATCTTTGTTAGAGGATTCTGCAGCGTTTTCATTTTTTTTTTCTTGATTCCCATTTTTTCTGTCTAAATATTTTGTTTATTCGTTTCTTTAATTTTCCTCTTTTTTTCTGAACAAATTAAAATTCAGGAGCCTGGAATAGACAAAAATTAATTCCATCTTGACTTAAGGTAGTGAATAAACACCCAGCTAACTGGAAACTAAATGTTAAGTAAATTAATCTGTTCTTTTACAGTAATCAACTAAAGACATTTCAAAATGTCTATGCCACCCTATTTGTTGGGTCCCAACCCATGGGCTCAAATGATGGCCCAGCAACAATTGGCAGCTGCCCACGCTCAAGCGCAAGCTGCCGCTGCCGCGGCTCAGGCACATGCTGCTGCTTTGCAACAACAAATGCCTCCACCGCATCCCAAACCTGACGTCATGACCGAGGATAAGTTACAGGAAAAGGGTACTTACTCCGTAGATTTAATTAACTTTTTCAAAACTAATTTGCTATATTTTAGCCCAAAAATGGCATCAGCTGCAATCAAAACGATTTGCAGACAAAAGGAAATTGGGCTTTATTGAAGCTCAAAAGGAAGATATGCCCCCTGAGCACATAAGAAAGATTATCAGAGATCATGGTGACATGAGCAGCAGGAAATATCGTCACGATAAACGTGTTTATTTAGGGTTTGTTACAAAAAAATAAACAATTTTTTATTATTAAAAATTTGATTTTAGGGCACTCAAATACATGCCTCATGCAGTAATGAAACTTTTGGAAAACATGCCAATGCCTTGGGAACAAATTAGAGATGTAAAAGTTTTATATCATATTACAGGAGCTATCACTTTTGTCAATGAAATTCCATGGGTCATTGAACCAGTTTACATTGCACAATGGGGGTAAGATTTAGTTTTCAATTTTCATAACGATTGTTTTATTGTGATTTTTTTCAGTACCATGTGGATTATGATGAGAAGAGAAAAACGTGATCGTCGTCATTTCAAAAGAATGAGGTTTCCACCTTTTGACGATGAAGAACCTCCTCTCGATTATGCTGACAATGTTTTGGATGTTGAACCTTTAGAAGCTATTCAAATAGAATTAGATCAGGATGAAGATTCTGCTATTGCTAAATGGTTCTATGACCATAAAACTCTAGTAAGATAATTTTGTGTGTGTTAAGGTTATCAATGTTATCATTATTTCAAATTATTATTGTATTTGTATGCCTAAAAGTAATTTGGTGTTCAAAGATTATGATGATTTCGGATCCTGCCCCTGCTGAAATTAAGAAGGTTTAACCAGGAAAGCAGTCAAGGATCGGAAAGCGATAAAAACAAAAAAGAAATAAAATCTCAAATTTATTTTAGGTGGGTACCAAATATGTAAATGGGTCAACCTATAGGAAATGGAATTTAACTTTACCAATGATGGCGACTCTTTATCGTCTAGCCAATCAGCTTCTTACTGATTTGGTTGATTATAACTATTTTTACTTGTTTGATACTAAAAGTTTTTTCACTGCAAAGGCGTTAAATATGGCTATACCTGGCGGTCCCAAATTTGAACCATTGATTAAAGATATGAATCCAGGGTAAGCAATTTCAGTTATTTTATATAATTTAGAATTCTTATATGTTTTTTTTTTATAGGGATGAAGACTGGAACGAATTTAACGATATAAATAAAATTATAATTAGGCAACCTATAAGAACAGAATATAGGATTGCTTTTCCTTATTTGTACAATAATATGCCACATTTTGTACATTTATCTTGGTAAGTCCAAACATAATATTACATTACTTTTCTCCACAGGTCATTTGCATTCCTTTTCAAATTCAAGAAATGGGGTGTAATGGCATTGTGGCAAATTATTTTTTTGTGGACGATATGTTTTTCATTTGTGAGGTTTAAATTGGAAATGCTGATAAACCACATACATTTTTCTCAAGTTTACAAAAATTCTTGTGAAGTGGTGATTTTCGCAGCCGAAGTTGTTTGACTAGAGATTTTCGTCTCTACCCTCTTAGTCATAGCCAGAAACACCCTTCATGTATAAATATGTATTACATTTATTTAGGTATCACGCTCCAAATGTTGTCTACATCAAAACCGAGGATCCCGATTTGCCAGCATTCTATTTCGACCCTCTTATCAACCCAATCTCGCACAGACATGCTGTAAAAAGTCTGGAGCCTCTTCCCGATGACGACGAAGTCTTTGTATTACCGGAAACTGTGCAAGCATTTCTACAGGAGACTCCGCTGTACACTGATAACACAGCTAACGGTATTGCCCTTCTGTGGGCTCCGAGGCCTTTCAATATGAGATCTGGTCGCACTAGAAGGGCCATAGATGTTCCTCTAGTAAAATCTTGGTATATGGAGCATTGTGTGCCAGGCCAGCCTGTTAAAGTACGTGTTAGCTATCAAAAACTGCTGAAATATTATGTATTGAATGCTTTGAAGCACCGGGCTCCCAAACCACAAAAGAAGCGATATTTATTCAGGTAACAACACTGATTTAAATTAAAAAAAAAAAAACACCTCCAATTTTAATTTAATTTAGGTCTTTTAAATCTACTAAGTTCTTCCAAACAACTACATTGGATTGGGTAGAAGCCGGCCTTCAAGTGTGCAG